TCATTTCGTCGACCATTCTCTGCATTTCACGTTCGGCAGCTTCCTCGGAATCGGCTTTTTCAGCGGCTTGGCGCATTTCCACAATCATTCTGTGCACCTCTTGTTCCGTGAGCTCTTTCGATGTCTCTATCGTGAGCCTTTTGAAGCTCTTGTTCGAAGGCACTCAGAGTTTCCTCTTGTCTTGGTTCCACGTCTTTAATCTTGACTACTGGCTCGGGATGGTTATCCTGTGCCACTTTCTGGGTATCTTCTGCAGGAATTGCAGAAGGCGTAGTTTCCATTTCCGGTTGAGCCATCTCGGTTTGACCAGTATCATTTTTCTTTGGCTCGGGACTGAATCTAATTCTGCTGGGGCTTCCATAGGATGATTCAAGTTGTCGTCTGGAACGGACATGGTGTCGTTTGTCTTTGATTAATCAGTGTTGGCTTCATCCTCCGTTGGCTCGGCGGACTTGTCGGCTACGTTTTCCAACGACTCGGCAACTCCTTCCTAATTTGATTGTTCAAAAGCAAGCGCTTCTTTGTCAAAAGGTGGCACGGTATGGTTCAAGCCAACCTTTGAACTTTGAGCCGAAGACAGCTGGTCGAGTGATGATTCGTTTCCAAAGGGAGAAGTACGGACCCAGCGAACACTGTCAGCATCACTTTCCAGAGAAGGAGCCAAGCTTGTGTCGACACTTTGCATATCCGGTTCTTCCCCTTGCATGGAACTTAAAAAATGGCATCCTTCCTGCTACTACTGCTGCTGCTGCTGCTGCTGCGTTCACATTGCTCCTATCTGTTGAGACTATACCACTGAAATTGATCGGACTTGGTGTTGCGGAGCAATGCTGTTGTGACGGTCGTTCGGCCGTCGTCAGTATGATGAAAGGAATCCAATGATTGATTCGTTCTCCTACACGTTAGACAATTCGAAGTTGAAATAAAAAGACTTCTCGTTGTTTTGCGATGATGATGACGGAAGATACCTTTAACGAACAGCCGTGTCCGTTTGCTTACAATTGCAGTATGCTGCCTACCTGGTACCAGGTACGAGTATGTAGGAAGAAGATTTTACCACAACTACTCTATAATAACAATATTGGCATCTGACATGCTCTCCAATATAATGTAATACTAAAATTTATCCTACAACTTGTGCTTCCGCTCGACCACTTTAGTATCCTCCAAATTGGAGGCATAGTCAATAATCCGATCAACATCTTCGGCTTCTTCTTTATCGTTGACGAAGCGTTCTGTGTCGGACACACCATCACCAGCACCACCATTTACAGCATAGTAAGCTGTTTCGTTTTGGACTCGTTTCATCATATTCTTCAAGTCCCCAAGCTGTTTCGTGAGTTCTTCCTTCTCAGCAGCAGCTTGTCGTGACAAGACATCGAGGAGCTCGTCGTCCTTGTTTGCAGCACGTGTCTTGTAGGCCAAATGCTTTTTGGCATTGGTCGAATTCAATCTTTCAAGTGTATTCTCCATCTTTATCGTATGATCCAGCATGTTGTGAATGTAATTCAAATGATCGACCAGCAAGTGACCATTCTTCTCGTAATGATCCTGCTCCTCCTCCTGCTCCTTCTCTTTGGGCATTTGTTCCCTGGCGGCTGACCAGTAGGACGAGGACGCTCCTACTACAGAACAACAACTCGCCGGGGAAACAACGATGGCCTTGCGGAAGCTTGTGACGACTGCTTGTCTGGATAATACTTGTTGGAATTGTGGAATAGGGTTCATCTTGTTTGGAGTTTTGAACGGTTTGACCTTTACATTTGATTTGTGATGATGTCAAGATCGGAACCGCAAGCTTGAAAGCGGGCTTCGGATTTCAGGAGGTGTCGGAAAATGGACATGCTATTTAGCGTTTGTCTTTTTTTAATAGTTCCATGGTGGCGGAAGTCGGAAATGGTGCTGTTGTTTTACGCGATTTTTTTCGAGAAAGCAATGTTTACCGCGTTAAATATGTGCTCCGTTATTACACAGATTTCGAATCAGCTCACATTCGACCAAAATGAATCAATCAATGAAATGGATGACGTGGGGGATGGTGATGATGGTGATGGATTTGGAAAGAAATGTTTGATGATCGCGTTGCATAACATTGCAAAGTCCAAGAGACCAAGACAAACACATTGATGATGCGACTTGTTTCATCCCTTCTAATGATCCTGCAATCGCGAACTCTGAGAGTGATAGCTCTCTCCACAATAGATTCAAACTCGGGGCAATCAACGACAGCGACACTACCACCACGAAGCAGAGCCGACAGTATTGAATCATCTGATACTGCTCCAGTTATATCCATGGAAACATTGGACCGACGGAGAATGCTTCAAGGAAGCTTTTCGGGTATTCTTATGCCAGTCTCCACCTACTGTGGCTTATTGTCCATTTCGTCTCCCCTTCCTTCGCATGCCTACACACCCGATCCAGATCCACTGAAGGAATCCTTGTATCTGATATGTCGCGTCCAGGAAGCAACCTGCCTCCAAGAACGCTACATTAACAAAAAGTTGCCACCGATCAAAAAGATGAAATTGACCCTACGGTTGGTAGATCGAAGCTATCGATTGTTGGACCAAATCAACTATATTTCCAAGTTCATGGATCCGAACAGTGTCGTGGAGGCCGTCCAAGCTGGCAATGAAGCGGCCGACTCCTTACAAGAAGCGATCGACTTTGTATATGCCTACAAAGACAATGATGGGACGGCCATGACGTTGGAGCAAAAGGACATTTTGATTGCGACATTAACGAGCACAAGAGAAAAGTTGTTTGACTTTGTGGCCTATTTGCCAGATCCGAGCAAGCTACAGGAAGCCCGAAAGCGAGTTGAAGAAGAGAACAGGCTGAATATTAATGAATATGATCCTGATCTTGCGAATGATGCTGGAATTTACAATCCAATTGAGCTGCCATGGAAGAACCGAAAGTGAGCATTGTGATTCATATTTGGTGATTGACTTGACGGCAATCTGGAAATCAGTCATGGGGCACGGAAGTCTCCTGTCGCATCAGCTTGTGTAACAAAATGATACAAGATATCTACATGATTTCAAAATAGTGTCAAGGTCGCCCTGTGGTGTGCGTGTGTGTGGGAGTATACAAATACAGCTACTGGCTGGTGGTGTCGTGGCTTCAGGCGAGGCTCGCCTCTACCAGGAACTTTGATCTGGAACGGCTGGGGCGTACCAGTCATTCGCAATAGGCATCGATGTGTCATGAAATCTGATGTATTATTCAATAATACTGAAATATTGAAAACGCAAAGAGTCTTCCTGCAAATCTACATACCGGTATACACTGCAGACAAGTGAATACTGTAGCGTTTCTGATAGTTGATGAAGAAGCTAGCGAAGTACCATCATCCGTTGTTATCGTGGGGCGTGCGGCACAATAATAGTCAATCCATAACCTCTTCGATGATTTGAAATCTTCGAACTCCAAGTCCCGGTAATAAAGCGCCAAATGAAGCTATTCGTCTCTTTTGAGCTTTTGCTTGGCCGCCAAAGAGGTGGATCAAGGAAGATCTCCTGTGGGTAGGCTTCGAGTAGAAGCTAGTGAAGTACCTGAAAGTTGCGCGCGTGCGAGATGAGTGCATTACAGTACGTGTAAGTCAACAAAAACGAAAACCATTAGTATTCTCGTTGACATAACCTTGACAAGACAATGGCGATGATAATGACTTCAGCCATGTTGCGAAACCAGAAATGCGACCATGAAGAGGGAATTCCATCATATAGTGGGCAGCAAATTTCCTATTTGGATTAGCCATGACACAGGACCAGCAATTGGAGTTTGAAACAAGCGTGCCCGTTTGCTGGCGAAACTTTGTGAAAACCTCTCCCAAACTTTCGATTTGCTTTGAAACGGATCTCATCACTAGCTTTTCTACTGAGCTTGGTACATCTTTCCAAAGTCGAGACGTTTCTTGCTTCAGCAGAGCAACTTCATTTCACAACAGAATCTGCTCATATTTTTGACATTCGATCAATTGCATCGTCTCAGTCCTTTCAAAGAACAGCAACATCAACAACAAACAAACAAACAAACAAAACGCTTTCCACCATGTTGTCTCTTCGATCCATCATTATGATCTTTCTTCTTTTGGCCATGCAGCCAATGGCCATGCCTTCCTTGATGAGTGCAAACTACACTCGTCCATCCACTCAAGTTTCCAGTTTGGCCAACGAAAACATTGTTTCCACTGTTGACTTTGTTGGGACCGCCGTGGAGATGGAATCCACTGGTATTCCATCTTTCTCCCTTGCGGAGTTTATCATGTCTATTGACTACGAATTGGTCAAGGCTTTCGCACAAGACTTCAGCAAGAAGTACGAAGCCTTCGCCGAAGCATTCACTGATGCCATGTCTGCCATCTTCGAGTTCTTCAGTATGGAGTACAACGCCTACAAGCAATCGATCAACTACGAATCGATCAATGCTTTCGCACAACTCCTCAACGAGAAGTACGAAGCCTTTGCCGAAGCATTCACTGATGCCATGTCTGCCATCTTCGAGTTCTTCAGTATGGAGTACAACGCCTACAAGCAATCGATCAACTACGAATCGACCAATGCTTTCGCACAAGTCCTCAACGAGAAGTACGAAGGCTTCGCCCAAGCATTTACTGATGCCATGTCTGCCATCTTCGAGTTCTTCAGTATGGAGTACAACGCCTACAAACAATCGATCAACTACGAATCGACCAATGCTTTCGCACAAGACTTCAACAAGAAGTACGAAGGCTTCGCCCAAGCATTTACTGATGCCATGTCTGCCATATCTGCCATCTTCGAATGCGAAGCATTCCACCATTCCATCGACGACGAGTCCGTCATGTCTTTGGCAGAACTCTTAAATGAGCAGTACGAAGCATACGCCCAAGCAGCGTTTACTGCCATGTATTCGAAGCTCGAACTCTTCATCCAGAAGCTCGAAGCATACAACCAAGAGTCCCATGTCGAGTACCAACGAGTCTACAAGAAGCTAGAAGACGTTGCCAGTGACCTACTTGCTGCAGCTCCAGCTTGGCCAAGCTTACTTGACCCTGAATTCATCGTCAGAGATGTTTTCGACGGAATGCAATCCTACACCACCAAGGACCCATTCGTCCCAGCACCACTTCCACCGTTGCCATCCCTTGAGGACGCTCAATCGATTGCAGCAATGGAGGTAGTATTGGACTCCTCGATCACTTTTGGTGCCATTGTCATTGCCCTACTCCTCGTCGCCACTGTGACTACAATCATTTATGCCAGCAGTGTCATCGATCGAGAGCTCATATCCATGGAAGATTTATCCATCGTCTTGGAGACACCCTGTTTGTCCATGACTGAT